CTTTTGGCACACACTCATATTGCACTTCCGCTCTTCGAATGCATCTACACTCAGGCGGACGTCATTTATCCGTTTCCTTGCCATTTTTCTTGGGTTGTGTTTGAAACTAATTTACTACACCTTTTGTTGTAACAGTTCTTGCATGTATTATATAATTTTTTCATGATTTATTGATGTCAAGGTAATGGCCACGAATGTTTGTATTTGAATTTAAATTATGACATTTGAAAAATGGTTCTTTGTTTAATCAAAAATACTAAATTCGCCCTTTTAGAAAACAAATTTTTAAAAAGTTAGTTCCCATTTCCGTTTTATATCGATTTGAACTTGAGAAATGAAGGTTCAAAAATAAACAAGTATGTATGTACAATTGGGGTATTCACAACGGTGTTGTAAGTGACGTATTGTTGCATGTCGTAAACTTCAAACGCCTAAAAAATATATTAAAGGGGGGTTTGCAAAGTACCATCAAAGTCAAATTATGAATTTTAGCAGTGTTAAAAAATAGGTGGTTGACGTGTCAAGTTCTCTAAACATTTATTTAAGCTTTTAAAGTTTACGACATACAATAATACGACACTTACGACACCGTTGTGAATCCCTCAAATATTTTTTTTTTTGGTTTCGCGCACAAATTTCATACCTACATACATACATATATATGTATATGTAGATGCATATACATATACATAAAAAGCATAACTAATAAAAAATTCAAAATTCACTCTTTGATTTATGTATATGATGAATTTCATCGAATTACAACTCCCAACATCATTTTATAAAAAAAATACATAAAATATTAGTCACGACCTTTTCCATTTCATTTACGATGTTGTTACATATTTTTGCATTTCCGGTGACGATATATACATGTAAGTATGAATAATAAATATTTTTCCAGTAGAACATTCAGCTCTGCCAAAAACTCCTCCCATCGCAGGCGTCGCTGGGTCGAATCCCAGTGACCGCGATGAAGAAGTCTGATAAGGAGATGTGGTGATCATCGAAATAGCAGCTATAACTTCTACCATTTATAAACTATTGTTGTTTTTTCCACAATAAATTTTCATATAAAAACGACCTCAAGCTCAATAAAATTTGTTTAAAATAATAACTATAATTTATATTTTTCGCCTCAAAGAAATTATTACTACTTGAATTTTAGTTTTTCGCTCAGAGGTAATAAGTAAATATAACCAACTTTTATTTCTTCGCTTGAAAAAATTGACTACTAGCAAATACCGGGCGTGCTTCACTGCGCCTTTAACGCATTTTTGTGCAGTGATAGGGCTGCCAGACGTCCCGGTTTTCCCGGACATATCCCGGTTTCAGACTATTTGTCCCGGTGTCCCGGTCCAACCTTAAAATGTCCCGGGTTTCGTTTAAGTGTCCCGGTTTTCGATTTGATTGCACAAATTTTGAATAAAAATGACTACACTGAGAGAAACAATGCATTGTAATATTGAGAACAATTTTATGAATTTACTGGGGGAAATAACGCATAGTAAACATGAATATTTTTTATTTGATTATCGTTTTGAAATGTTCGTACTTAAAAACAATACTTTCATACCACGCACACGTGGTGTTGAATCAAACTGAACATTTGAATGTACATTTACATGTCTGGCTGTAGCGGAGTGCACGAAGATGCTTGCCACAATTTGCTAATTTCCAGAGCGTCAGGGTTCAAATCTCATTACAGGCGGCATGGAATTTAAATATATATATTTTTAACTTAATTCTGAAAAAGCATCCGTTAAGTGCAAAGCGCTTCATTTTAATATTGGCGTATTTGAATTGAATATTTCTATACTAAATACTAAAATTTGTATACTTAAATTTATTACGAGTTGGGTTGGTGCTCTTTCATATGCGATTTTTTTTTTTTAATTTAGCACGTTTTTCACAAGCCATAGTTGATGATTAATATAAGTATGTACCTAAATACGTTAAAATGACATGCTCAGAGTTTTACAATTATATTAAGCAAAGGCCAGAAGTTTTGAACCAAGTTCACAGCAACGAAACAAATTTGAATGTTACCTTGTATTTAATTTTTTTTTCTTTCCTGAAACCTAGATTACTTATAAGTACCATGCCGTACAAAATTATTAGCTCGGAGACTATTTCATCAGATCAAAATTTCCAATCAGATCTTTTAGAAAAATTTTGAAAATGTAGCTTTTGAGCCAACTAGTAAAGTGCAAGTCTGAAGTTACCAGAAAATTTCGTTGATTTTTTGCAATTATTTATTTTTTTTCTGACAGTGTCTTCCACATACAAAAAAATGTCGAACATAAGTAGTTTGTATGGAAGAAACTCTCAGTAAAAACCATACCAAAAATCAACTAAATTTTTATGGGCTGCAAAACTTCATTTTAAAAATTTGTATATAAAAGTCTGAATGGAAAATTGCGAATTTGTATCCAAATTTACTGCATTTTCCCGAGTTTTGAACAAAGTTTAGAAATTTTATTTTTATGTTTTCTGATGTATTTAGTGTAAACTGTATTTTTATAAGGAACAAAAAAGGTACATGCATTGTGAAAAATTCTCTCTGCTTTAGTTGTGATAAATTGTTTTGTTTTGCTTGTGTACGTTGTAATGATCTCATGATCTCATGTTTTTATGTTTTTTTGTTTGTCAAAATAAAATTTTACTACATCCTTTCTGACGTAATTTTTGTCGAAACGAAAGGGAAGGGAGCGAGAGGCCTTTCCCACCCTTAAGTGTCCCGGTTTGGCAACAGAGATATCTGGCAGCCCTATGCAGTGATCAAAAATAATCTCGAATTTATAAATTGAAAACGTTGCCCGAATTCCGAAATTGAACGAAAATGTTGTTTCATAACAGTTATTCGATGAAGAATATGTTTTATTTCACCGATAAGAGTTATAACCCAAGGTATATTTTTTACATTGTTTGATAACAGTTATTGCACAACGTTTAGTTTTACGTTGCTTGATAACAGTTATTGTCCGACGTTTATTTTTTACGTTGTCTGATAAACGTTTCAAGATAAGAATACTGACGAAAATGGAGATGGAGAAGAAGATAAATATGATGCAAATAAAAGTGGAGGAGTGAAATATCAGTTAAAAAAATTTAGGAACATACTTTGTATGGAAGAAAATTAATGACACCGTCAACAAAAAAAAAAAAATCCAAAATTCAACGGTATTTTGTAACCACATGAAACTCGTACTTTGTTATACAAAAACGCAAAACTTTTCCAAAAATGAATTTTTATAATTTTTGCATAAAGATTGAAATTTGGATTGGCATATTCTTTGTTACAGAATGAACTATACTTTTATAAGAAAATAATTGAAATGAAATAATATGAAAATAGTCAAAACTGGTTAATATATGTGGCGGTCTTAAAATTATGCAACTGAGTGTACATATAGACAAGCTACTCGCATGTAGTACTAGTTACATATGTACATATTTACGAACAAATGAATATTTGCAATACACTTAATAGTAGAATGCGGTAAATTTCCGCAATTCTTTTCGATAGAGCTAGTAAGTACCCACTTAAAGATTAAGGAAAAACGCAAAATGTAGGGTAAACTGATATAGTATTTTATAAATATTTATCTCCGTATATAAAAATTTGTGCATGTATATGGGCTTCTAATATTTTCTATAAAATCACATTATAATACAAATATTTATTTTTAATTTGAGTGTTTTAAATTAATTTCCCTTTATTTTTAATGGGCGCCTAGTTTCGAATTATTGCAAAATTTTCAGCCTTTGGTTGTCAACAAATGGAAAAGTAAACTTTCGATTGTTTGCTTTAAAATCGTGTTTAATAAAAGTAACCTGCCTGATTGCTTAGGCTCTCTTAACTGATCTCGGTGCATTCGTGTATTTGGCAATGTTTCTGTTTTTCAAGGAAAATCACTTAAACATTTTATTTTTTTTTTTAAATAAGGAATTGCTTGTGAGCTGGAAGGCATTGACTAAACAGAGTTTACAAATGACGGAAAATGTAAAATAACGGATCTATTTTGTATCAGTTACAAATTCTTGTCACATTTGTCTTAGAAAAATCCTCTTTAAATTACATAAGTATGTACGGGTTTATTTTGTTTATTATAATTTTTTGCAAGTACATGTTGCATAGCTCACAATCTAACAAAAATTATCAGGCCAATCCTCAGGGAATTTTTATTCATGATAGGAGGAAAGGAAAAGGAGGCAAGGCTCCCGGGGAGTTTCTGTTCAGAATCGGCCTGTATTTATGTCTGAATTTAAAACTTAGTACAAAATTAGGAAAATTCGAGAAGGTGTTAAGAAAACAACACCGTCAAAAAATAAAACTTTGCATATAAAGTTTGAAATTTTGATGAACATTTGTTGAAAATCGTCGAATTTTTATAAATCTTGTACAAAGTTTGAAATTCGGACTTAAATGGTTTTTTAGAAAGTGAACTATATTTTTATATTAAAATAATACCTAAACCTTTTATAGAAAAGTGTTATGCGAAAAAATAAGAATATTAGAACCGAAAAATATTCTTGCTTAGTTCTAAAATTGAGTGTGAAAATTAGGTAAGTGACTGAAACGAAATATGACAGCATAAATTTAACAATTTATTAGAGCGGAAGTGCCTGACGTAATAGAAATTATACACACAACTTGAGCAGACTGGTTGGTTAAATAATAAATAAATCTTAAAGTACATTAGACTGGGTCGCGAAAAAAAGTTTGTGATAGTCTTCCCTGCTTAAAAGCTAAAAAAATGCTTAAAAATAGTTAAAAAGTGTAGCAGTTTGGCTACATAAAACTTTTTCCTAGACCTAAAAATATCCAAAATCAAGTTTTGTTCATTAGATTTTTATTTAATATCTGATTCTCGTTGAAATGTTACATATATAAAAGTACAGTATACTGCCTTACTAAACGGCTGACGCAAACTTCTTCCTTCCGCTAGCAAAACAAAATTAATCTCTCTCTTCCAATTAGCGATTTTTTAACTTACCTTTTATGAAATTCTCTGTAAGGAAAAGAAAAATAAAATAAAATTAGAAAATGAGTTAACAAAGGTAATACTTAAATATTGCGAACAAACATTTTTTGATATAAGTATATGCATATGTGTATATATATTTTTTGCTTTTTTAATAAGAGTGTAAATGCGGCCGCTGTGGTGTAGTGGTTAGCAGTGAGCAGGGTCTGGGTTCACGGCATGAAAGGTGCTGACTACAACCATAACGGCAGATACAAAGTCTCTAGTTGGGATACCAGCAGGGTATTGTTTACGTTGAGCTTTACTTACGATATAATGCACAGGAGATGCAGAACAAATAAGAAGACTCTCGAGCACATCCTCTGTTAATGTACAGCCCTTAGCAGACTTCGACTCTGAATCCTAGGATGGGATTTCCTACCGAAACTGGAGGCAGTCGCAAAAAGGAGGTACCAAACTGAAAACTGTTGCACTTTCTCAATGTTGCGCCTGGTCGAAGGAATTAGCTAGTTCTCCGGTCGCAGTTCTTTCTGGTCACGCTATTTATCTAAATGGTCTCTGCGAAGCTATGTAGTGTCTAGCCAGTCTAACCTAACCTTCTTTTATTAGGCAAGTTTTAAGTGGACGCTAAATATTTTTTATGTGATTTATCCAAATGCATTATTTAATTACTTTATTTCTAGCTAGTGCTTTTTGCGATTTATTCTATAAATAGATGGTGCAATTTTTTTTTTTAATTTTTATACGCAAGTTCTTATAAGTAAAATTTCTTTTGCATGATATCATTTTGCTATGTGATCTCTCAACTTTTTCAGCAACTCTTCTCTTACGGAGTATATCTTTTTTTTATCGTTGTGTACTGAGTTTTCAATTCGGATGTTTCGATGTGACAGTGACTCAAGGTCGCTCGTTTGTCATCATCATTTTTGGCGAAGTTCAGTAGCAGCCAGTAGTAATATATACATAGATATTGTATATGCATATGCACATGAAATAGCAATTTTGTGGACGACGTTGATTTTTTGTAAAAAAAAGTTGCAAAATACTGATTTGGCCTTGTATTTTTATTGTTGTAGGCAAACCATTTTTGGCAGTTGTGTTGCGTTTGCTATTAATATTTTTATTGATGATGTCGTTCTCAGCATGCATATATGTATGTATGTATGTACAGTGTACACTAGGGTGGTCCAAAAATGCACAGTCAGCGTCAAAAATATGAATACCCAGACGTTTCTTTATATTTTCCATACCAACTTCTTCTTATTTTTTATAAAATATAGTTAGTTCAACAGCAAAAACCAGTATAATCGATTTTTTCAATTTCATATATAACTCGGGAAAATTCAAGAACTACAAATAAATTTTCATCAAAATTTTCAACTTTTCAATTCTGGGTATGCAGTTTTGAAGCCCATTAAATTTCAAGTCTATAAAAATTACCGTTGATTTTAAGAATTTTTCTTTTTTGACGAGGGTCTTGCGCATTTTCTTTCATATAAAAATATATTTTGTTCTTGCGTTACATTGAAGAAAATGCCAGACACATGCTTGACAAAAAAAAAATCTCAAAAATCAACGGTAATTTTTAGAGACTAGCAAGGTGCGCGTTATTATATTAAGATTTAATTGGCTACAAAACTGCGTACTCAAAATTTAAGAAATCGAGTTGAAAATTGTTATGGAATTTTTTGGTGTTTCTTGAATTCTCACGAATTCTATATGAAATTGAAAAAATCGGTTCTGCTGGTTTTTGCTATAGAATGAATTATATTTTTATAACAAAATAAAAAAAAATTGGTATGGAAAATATAAAAGAAGAAAATTGTCAAAACGTCAGGGTTTTCATATTTTTGACGCTGACTGTATGCGGGGGGAAAAAAGTTTAAAATGTTAATGATACGATTTTTCTCAATGGAAAAAAGAATACCCGTATTTTTTTTTTTAATCAAAGCTCATTAATTTTATATGCGGAAAAACACTTTTTTGTAGAAATTATACAGAATTCTTCAAAATCAATATTTTTCGATCGGAAAACTCTGGTTCTCTTTAATAGACTTCCAATAACAATACCCAATTGTTTATTTAAGTATTTTATAAAATTAACAGTTTTTATAGATCTCCCAACAAATGCAATGGGATGCCCATAAAAAATCGTTTAATTTTAGATTTTTTTTTGTCCACCCTAGTATACACGCGTGTGCATAAAGTTTCACTTGAAATATAAATTTTTCAACATTTTTTTCAGTCAACCCAGACATTTGGATACTTTAGCTAATTTTTGATTTACCTCAGCAGAGAATTAATACATGAGCGGCATGAAAATGAATGACAAGCTTTCAAGAGGTTAAAAAATTGTATATATTTACTTGGATATAGCAATGACAGATGCTTTTTTTGAGTTGAATGTATCGAAAATATAATTTGCAATTATTGTCATTAAAATTTTCCCAACCTTAAAATTAGGTATTTAAAAACTGCACGAAAAATAACCACAAAATAAATATATAGATACATGAATACCATAATTGTGGTAGTAGAAGCAGGAAATGGTGAAAATCACACCTTTTCCTCGATTTGGCTGACTCGCGGCAAACCATGAGTTGCTGTTTCCCCTCTTTTTCTCTCTAAAGGCTGGAAACTTTCGAACACAGCGTTGCATGTGCACCCAATTTAACAGTGCATGATAAATGACCACAGGGCAATTGTAAGCCAGTAACTAGTAGACGTAAAGACAAAACAAACCCATTTTTAATATGAAAAACATGCAAAGAGCACAGCATTTGTTTGTTGCGAATGCGTTCGAAATTGAAAATTGGTGTTTAATTTGGTACGTAGCAATTAGAGGAAGAGAAAGTACATACTATTTGAAAACTATTGAGTTAAAACAAAAGTAAAAATAAAAATACAACATTTTATACACATTGCTCGCTAAGCTGTAAGCTCGATTGATACAATTCCGACACGCTGTAATTTTGCAATTATAATTTTTTACAGAACATTTTCATAGCACGATGATCTCACCTTTCACAATGGTTCTGTGCTTGAGCTAAAAACCGAATTCGAGGAGAGTGTGTGGATAAACATGATCTGCTTTTAAAAGAATTGTTAAAATTTAGTGGTAATTTTGCCGATTGTTTGTATGTGGAAGCACTTAAAAGAGTTTTTGGAATGAGATGATATTTTTTGTTGTAATCAATTATGATGCAAAGGCTTGTTTTCACTATTGGTGATTTCGTTTCTTAGAAAAAATTTTGCCTTTTGTCGCACCTTTTGCATTTATTTTAGAATCGAACACAAAAAGAGAAAGGGGCAATCAAAAGGCAAAATTTTTTGGTAGAAACGAAATCACCATATGAAAAATGTCTGCCGAGAAAAAAAACTAAAGTATACATAAACAAAATGTTGATTGAAATTAACAAAATAAAAATTTGTATTATATAGAAGCATGGCAACCCTGATGGAAAATATTTTATGACCAAAGTTATCAACAATACCTTTCATTTGATATCCATATTGCGATGTTTTAGATAAATTGTGTAGAATCGAAAATAAGTGCCAACCTTACACTATTATCCTAAGAGCTAACATTTTGTATATAGGGAAGGCATTGTTTAGGAACCTTATCTTGGTACCCATGAAAAGTAATATTTTACCTTTTTTTCTAAACAAAAAATTAAATAAGTATGCGATCCAAAATAGGTGGCAACGTTATTAAAAATATTTTTGAAATGGGGATCTTTAAAATACCTTCCATTTTATACCCATATTATGATGTTTTAATTAATTGGTAACTATATCGAATAGGTGCCAACCTTATACGAGTCTTTTCGGAGATAATGCCGATTTAGATAACCTTACAATACAAAACATTATCTGTGTACCAAATTTCACAAAATCGTTAGAGCCATTTCCGAGAACCCTATGGATATATATATATATATATAAGAATTGCTCGTTTAATGTAAAAAGATAATAATAGATTGGCGATTAAATACACACGTTAGTATTGGGCAGAGCTTCTCCTCCGATTTCTGGCGTGGGCCTTGATGTTGTCACATCATGCGGAGGGACCTGCAGTTTTACGCCGACTCCGAACGACGATTGTATTTTTATGAGAAGCTATTTTTCATGGCAGAAATAACACTCGGAGGTTTGCCATTGCCTGCCTAGGGGCGACTGCTGTTAAGAAAAATCTTTTTCGTATATTTTCTTGCGATGTTGCTTTGACGGCTTGTGAGCACAGGCCCTGTGGAGTAGAAGGGCGCACTCCTAACCACTACACCACAGCGGCTGCATATAAAGCCACATATTTATATGAAATTTTTTTAATAAAAACCTACGTAAACAATATACCTTTAAGACATATAGACAATTTAGACATATCGTTTAAAAGCAAGTTTTAAAAGCCGCAAGCGCTGTCGACCTCTAAAAAGTTCATCAGCCGCACAGTTTCCTGCGATATCTCTATCACGACCTCAACCAAGAGAAGGGGTGAGAGAACACCACCGTGGGACTTTTATTTTAAAATCTTTTGCAATAACATTAGTCAGGAAATGAACTTTAAATAAACGCATTGCCCAGAAAGCTGCCTAAGAGAATTTCCGGCATTGCTACAAAATGTATAAAGCCTATTTTTAAAAATAGTCCTTTATTGTAACGTTCATATCTTAAACATTTTGTAAGCTATGAGAATGTTGAAGTGCACGGTCGAGTTAACTGTACCTTGTAAACAAATTTCGTTTGAATACGCATTTACAATAGCTTAAAATAAAACTGTCTCCTCTCAGTCATTCATAATATGACTTTTATGGTACCTTGCTAGTGGGATACCTAAATGTGGTTTTTGCCGCTTAAAGTTTACAACTCAGAATAAAACGACACTGTTGTGAATACCCACCCCAATTAAAAATAACTCATCTTTCCAACTTTTTTTTTAAGTCAACCATTGCATAATTCCCTTATCGTATGTATGTATGTAAGTATTTTTATTTCAAATTTAAATACTAATCGATGCAAGCAAACTTGTGCAGCGTCTCAAACTTTT